GCCACTGTATTATGGCTGCTGCAGCTGGAGCCATCACAGCTAACCTTTTGCAAGCAACGGGTCTTCAATGCAGAATGCAGGTGCCTTTTCGTACACTTCCGAGCCAGCTGCTCTGAATTACTGCAGGATCAGAGTTGTTGTCTCTGGGATGGCAGAAGAATGGATTAGAGTAGTTGGTGATTTCGGCTTCCTCCATGACCATCATCTTGAGTTGCTTTGCCAACCCAACAATGTTCTTTTCTTTGCTTTTTAAATACAAAGCTGTACAGGCGTAAGGAATAAAAGCTCTAATTTATTCTGCAAAAGTGTTCATCAAGTGAGAGACAGGACTCTGGGAAAAGATTAAGAGCTTACATTTTTCATTTGACTTATTTCACATAAAATTTCATAGAGGATAAAATGATGGGAGGCAAAGAAGCAGAGATATTTCTGTTTTATCTCTGTCTAAGGACCATAAATCTTTCTGAAGTACCATTAATTATAGCAGCGCCATTCACAACGCTATTGTTAAGGGTCTATCAGCAGTCCCATTATAAACCCCTATTTTCAGGGGTTTATAACTTGGTTAGAAGAATTTTGTTTCAAGCAAAAACTTCACTGGGGCAATGTCTTTATCTAAGACATTTTTATTTTTTTCAATGTAAAACACAAAGGAAAGTGTTAGCTCTTTTGAACTGAATAAGGGAGAGCCCAGGAACCATCTAGGGGTACAAAGCTAAAGCTGTCTTGGCTGACTGTACCTGTACCATTTGTGAATTCTTAAGACTGTATTCACAGAAGTTATCTCAAAGATTAATTTAGGCCATTCCTTTAAAATGCAAGTTTCCAATTAGTACAACTGAATTCAAGGTCTGGAATATTCCTCTAGTGGCTGTAATCAAATCAGATTTGATTTCTTTTTTACCTGAGGCCAGCCAAGAAAGATTTTAGCAGAACTGGAAAACAGCTTAAATGTTAAATAAACTTCAGTGCCTTTAGCTTGCCTTTTTCTTCTTCTTGTTATTGCAGGCATGACCTACATCAAGAATCAGTGAAGTTAATGGTCACATCCACTAAAGAGCATATTGGCTTAGCAGAGGAATTTCTCTTTCATGGCTCAGCCAGAACCGAAATGTTAGAGAGGCACAGTGTTTCTCCAGATGTGTAGTGAAAAATGCCCTTCAATAGGCACTAGTGAGACTGGGAGGGCACAGGGAAGAAAGGTCACTGCTTCACCTATATAACGCTTTCAGCAGGTGGCCTTTTGCCTGTAGCAACTTGTAGGTTCATCAAGGAAGCCTAGAGCTCTGCCCAGCTGTGTCCTTGCACATTAAGAGCCAGATGCTCAATAAAATAGGATCAACAAAATCATTGTGTGTTTTTTCTAAAGCAATAGATATTAATGAATGGTAACTTCTGGGCAACTTTTTCCTGCTTTAAAGTAGAAAGATTAGATGAAAACGTATTTTGTGAAGAGTGTGCTGACACCAGCAGGTAATCTCCATCCTCTGTCCTTACCAATAGTCTAACACTCTAGCTTCCCGGTTACATAACCGTATGCAGTAATGCAAATCACTTTGGTCCTCTTAGATCCTATTAGAACCTCTCGTATTACAGAATTCTTCCAGCTCTACTTTATAGCAAACTGGGATTGTTTAGTCTTAACTTCTGCTGCCTGTTTTCCTCCACTACACTTCTCTGCACAGGAACTGACTTTTGCAAACTGCACATTTAACCCAGCCAGAGAGTGAGATCAAAATAAGTAATGCATGTGGGTATTCTCCTATGGCATTCCCTACAGTGCTCTGATTCTGCTTTAAACACTGCTGAATGTATCTTGTTATAATGGGTTCCACTATCTAAAGTACTTTCTTCTATCAGTCTTGATTGTGTTGTCTTTTAATTTCATTGCATGTGTCCTCTGAAAGGATAAACAGGCATGGGTAAATAGAAGAACCCATTTCTACATATTATTTAATCCCTTATGTACCTCTTTCGTATTACATCTTATTTTTCTCCTCTCCAAAGTAAAATAGTCTTAATGGTTTGTTTGCCTTTTCTAATATGGAAATCTTTCCATATTTCATAATTCATTGCTGTTATTTGAGCAGATGTCTTCCTGGAATTCTCCAGTTATTAATGACAAGACAATCATACTTGGTGATGATATCTAAATAAAGGATGTGCAGTAAGACAGAGGTCTCTTCTGGCAGCTCTGTCAACATCAGGGGTTTGATGTAGGCAGAAATGGCTCTCTGACAACACCCATATGAACTGCAGGAGAGTGTGGAAAACTGTGGAAAGCTCCCTTATTTCCTTTACTCTTATTGCCAGAATGATTCTGCAATGCCACTTTGCACCCAGCAGAACACCTCCTAAGTTTAAGGAGAAAATCATTCCTGGCTTCTTAGTCAAAAGCACCTCTCCTGACAAATGTTACGATTTGCTCACTAACCTCCCATCTTACGTGAACTAGTTCAGTCTAATTCACATTATTTTACAGATCCTGCACTTCAGAATATCCACTGCAAACCTCACTCTTCCCAGTTTTCCCCACTTTACTTATTTCAAAGCAAATTTTCATACATTGAAACTCCTGAGGCCTGACAGTCATCAGCACTGCAACAATAAGGTACAAATCTTGTGATAATTGTATTAAATCAGTGCAACCTCACTGACAGTTGCTCTTCATCTGTAATGATAGAAACAGGAGCAGAATTGAATTATCTTGATGACAACAGGGCTCTTCCATAGCAGGCACACTGGTGGGCCTGGAGGACAGAAAAGGATGAAGCTTTCAAACGGAGGAGATTGCAAAAACCTTAGCATAATGCAAAGCTGTCATCCAGGCTTTTTTATTACATGGAACTAAGCATAAGTAGCGTTACAAGCAGATTTACTTTTCTCAAAGCAAAGGAATTCATGTGCTTTCACAGCAGGGAACTTTACAGCAGTTAAAACCTCAGGTCTATTAAAGTAGCATGCACTTTCTGTGGATTTGCTTATCAGTTTTGCCTATTAGCAAATGGATTTATGCTGAAAGCCAGAGTTTCCCTCGTGGTCCCCCAAATTCCTGCAGTGCAAATGTAAAAATAAATTGTGCATTTCAACAGAATGAGAAGGTCCAGATGGATCTCCCCCTGCTGCAGAAAGGGCTGGACAGGAAAAGCACTGCAGCAGCAGCAGCCTTTCTTTCCAAGACCCAGTGGGGTGAAGTGGCAGAAGCTCTGCAAACAGAGGGATGGAGAAGTGTCTCTGCAGACTGCATTGCTCTCCAGTCTACCTCAAATTTTCCCTGACTTACCAAGGAAACGCACTGAAATTCATCGCTGCCTTATCACTTCAGAGGAGCTTTCTGTCCCAACTTGCGCTCCTTTTTCAAGGGTTATAAAGTACCTCTGTTCCAGGGCACTGCACATGGATATTAAACTTTCATCACAAACATGATGCCATTTTTGATTTCAGCATTTATCCATCTTCTGTTCTTATATGGCCACACTTACCATAATACCTCATACTTTACAATCCTTAACACATTACTTATCCCTTCAAAAAGCATGCATGTGAAAGGTAACCAAAAATAAAAAATAAACCATATTAATACTGTTCCCATCTGAGGCTATGGATCTTTGAGATTTTTTTTTCTTGTTAACTCTGGAATGCTATTCATAACCTTGAGGCTGATAATACATAGAAAATTATTACGTCCAAGTGGCAACCCCTCCCTAATATATCTATTACAGGTCTGTGATTCAGAAGTGAGTCTTTTCCAGGTCTTTTCCAGAATCCTGTTCTTTGCTTAGATAAGAAAATAAGAAGTCCCATTAATAAAAATAAAGCCTGCATTTCCAGTCATTTATTTATGTTAAAAGACTGGTATCAGGTATTAGCAGTGATATTTAATCCATCTACAGAGTTCACTTTTGGCTGCACTGGCATATTATGTTCTTTGCTTAGTTTCCTTTCAAGAAAAATGATCAAAATTAAATCATTTTGAGAATGTTGTTTCTTTCCAGATTGCAGCAGTAGCTTTCTACATCACACAGCATGATTCTTCTTTGACATGGTAACATTAAAATAAAGCAATCCATGGGATACATTTGAGCCACTGCTCTCTTTTGGAGGCAATCAAAATTTGAGGCTCAGTTTCCTCCCTTCTGTACAGCTGTACTTGTGAATTTGAAGAGTATTTCAAGGCTTAAACTCCCTCACAGCCTGCGACCGAGATGAACAGAAGCTGCCAAAACATAAAGTCAGACTGACTTGGTGTTACACGTCACTGCAAATACTCTGAGAACGACGTAGCAGCAAAGCCTTTGGTGAATAGCCTTAGTACGAACACAATGGTGCTCAAGATCAGCAGCATAAATTTGAATCTAGTAATGATAACAGAAAAGCAGGCCTGAAAAGACAGTGTCAGATATGGAGTGTGGAGAGGAGACTCTGAAGATGGGACTGGTCACAATACACCATGCTCACTCTGCGCCCCACAGGACTAGATACATTGAAATTCACTGCTTTTGGCTGTTCAGCCCAGGAACTGTGTAGAACTTGGGTTTTCCCTTCATTTGAAGGGAAGGCTCTTTGGCACCTTTGTGCAGTAGGACCAAAAAACTAGAAGTATTAGACACATCACAAGCTCCTTCTGGATGCCCCACAATACCACTGCTCATGTGTGGCCTGATTCGCTGCCCACTTCAGCTTTTGCACCAGCAATCCATCCCCGACCCAGCACCCATGAGTGTGACTGTCCCTCCCAACGCTGAGGGGTTGGTACTCTGCTGCCCATACACATCAGCAGCACCCCAGCGGCCCTGAGGGAAGTCCCAGAACTGCTGTTCTGTAAGAACCAGCGCATACTGTGCGTACAAAGGCAAAGAGCTCCGCGGCGAGCAGAGCGAGGGTGGGAAGGCCAAAATCACCACACACATCTTAACATGGCCGCCACAACAGCGGCCATTACCGCGGGGCACTGTGGGAAGGACAGGCGCAGCCGCGCAGGGCATTGTGGGAAGGCGGGAGCGGCGCCGGAGGGTGGGGTAGGCGCCGGAAGTGCTGCGGTTGCCGTGACGACGGCGTCGGCCCCGCGGCGCGGGCGAGCCGGAGCGGGCCGGGACCCCGCGGGCCCCGCCGCCCATGCCGCGGAAGGCGCTGCTCTGCGTCCTGCAGCTGGACGTCCGCTCGGTGAGTGCCCGGTTCGTGGGACCCGCCGTGCTCAGCCGGGGTTCGGCGGCCCGCAGGCTGGAGGAGAAGCCGCGGTTTGCCCTTCCGGCGGCGCTTCCCGCGCCGCTTCACCTCTCTCTGCCGCCGCCTGTTCCGCCTGCCCGGTGGTGCTGCTGGGAGACCGGTCTGGGCTTTGTAGCTGAGCTCCGGCTGGCTGCTGGGCAACTTGTGCTCTTTTGTGTGTGCATCCCCCGGCAGCCGGTCCTCAGGCTCCCCGGTGATGTTAGCACCAGCCGTGCGCCTTCACCGTCCTCACTTCCCCGTGTTAAAGGCCTTTTTTAAGAGACACTGATACCTGGGGAGCTGTACGGTGTGGGAAGAGCACTCCTGAACCGAACAAAGTAAAAGAAATCCCACGAAACAGCATCTTACACATGGCATATACATCTCTGTGAGTGGTGAGGTCCCTGTGAGTGCAGGATATGGTACTGGGCAGCTATGAAGTGCCTGAAGGAGATTGTGAGGTCAGTAGGTGTGAAAGTGGAAAGTTTTCCCATTAATCGCGTTAGGACCGTTCCCTGTGCACTTTGCAAAGTTTTTTGCTTATATACAACATAGGAATAAATACAACTATCATTTTCCTGATAACTTTTAAGGAGCAACTGGAGTAATCAGTGCACTGTCACTCTGGAGTTGTTGGCTTCATACACCCTGGTTGCTGTAACCCAGAGGTTTGGCCTCCTCATAGGGTAAGAGCTGCCAGAATACTTGCTGCTGAAAGGAAAACCCAAGGTGCCATCCAAAACATTTAAGTGCAGGTCCAGAAAGTATCTACTGGGAAATGGACCCTGATTGCTGAGCCACCTTTGTTCCCAAACTTGTGTGGCTGCTCTGAAACAGCGCTGTGAATTTCTACACATCGACTGTGAGGGTATCACTCTAATGGTGTTGTTTTGCTGTCCCAGCAGTTAGTGTTCATAATGCAGAGGCCCACTTGATTCCTGGAAAGCTACAGAGCCAATTTGGCATTTCACTCCTGTGACGGTTTGAAAGCTTTCCAGCCTGAATTTCCTTCTGGTTAGTTGACACCCTACTCTTATGCAAATATCAACACTGATCTTTCACTTAAATAATTTTCTTCCTTCCTTGGTGTTTGCTTTCTTGATATATCTTTGGACAGCAGTTCTGTCATTTAACAAGCAATCTTTGTTAGCTAGAAAGACCTGGTTCTTTTGGTAGTGTTTTATGTGATTGACTCAGCAGTCTTCTGATCATCTTAGGGATGGGTGCCACTTTTCCTCTTTAAAACTGCATTGATCAGGATCAGAATTGAATTCAGCATTCCAGATGGGGTCTCACTGTTGTTTTAGGTTATATCAGGGAAAAAAGTCCAACATTCATCCTGTATGTCTTAATCTGATAGTCTCCTCACAGCTGAGCTGCTGTTATGCTGTCATTTCTTTGTTAACACACACATCTTTCCCTCAGCCCGTTTGAAGGTTAGTTCCCCCACAGTGAAAACAAAACCTATTGTTGATACACAGTAAGTACATCTCATGCCTGTCACTGTGGTCCCACAAAACAGGTTTTTCTGTAACATTTTGTTGACCTTTGGTGATTTCTGAATTTTAATTGGAAAATGTCATGAGAATACTCTGACTTTTTGTGTCAGGGTCATTAAAGATATTGAAAGGCATGGATCCCAGCATATACAGAGCAACATTTTTAATAGTAACCCTCAGATTGATGCCTGCCAGATTTGCACGTAATTGATGTGGAAGGTGTGCCTGCCCATGGCAGGGGGTTGGAACCAGATGATCTTTAAGGTCCCTTCCGACCCAAACCATTCTGTGATTCTGTGATGCTGTCCTTTGGGCAGTTCTGTAGCACCTTAGGAATTTCATACTAACTCCCATCTTCTGCATCATAAGTAAAATTTTCTTGTGTGGCACCATATAATATCCTTTGTCCAGAAAACAGATTTTTCAAGAAGCTGTCAGGTTTTGCTTGATTGATCTATTTTTATGAAATGCACTGCTGGGCTTTTTTCTAGTCATGTTTTCTGCCACATCTTTATTCTTTTATATATTTAAATATTCTGGTTGATGGGGTTGGGTTTTTTCAGATGTCTTTTTCTGCCTCACGTGGTCCTTGCGTTTGTTATTTTTCAACAGATGGTGCTATCCTTGTTTTCATAACATAGGCTTTATTTATGTATAGACTCCACAAGAAAAATTACATGCTTTCAGAGCTTAGGCTGAATATGATTCAGCCTCCTTGTGGCTGCTTGGTCCAGGCCTATGGCATATTGGGTAACTTCTGTTGCCACCATTTCGTTCTTTAAGTTGTTTGGTTTTTTGCTCCTGTGTTAAGTATTATTAAAACCAGGGTAAATGATTCAGTTGTTTCTGGGACGTAGGTTTGTTAGTTTTCACATCTCGGTTGTTTATGCTACTTCCATTGCTTTCTCCTTGTTTATTTTATTTGTGACTAAAGTCTTGTCCAAATTTATGATTACCTTTCCTATTCTTTTACAACATTCTGCATATTTCTTAACCCTCTTTGAAACCTGTCCACTTGTGTCAGATGTTCTGTCCTCTGTGGTTTTCCCTTGCTTTAGGATACAGATGGATTTTGCTCCTTTTAACTTACTGAAATTCCAAGATCTTTTCCAACTTGAGTCCGGCAGCTCTTTGGTTTATCTTACTGCTAGTTTTCTTCATTTCTGAAAGGCTGCTCTTCTAAAATGGAAAACTTCAGTTAAAGGCCTTATTTGGTTTACCCTGGCATTAATTAAAGTTGAATAATTCATGATTGCTCAGACTGAGATTTCATTGTTATTTGTTTTTTTGAGACTAATTTTGGTGCCCTCCTCTGCTGCTGGCATTTAGATTGCTCATGTAGGAACAGAATGAAATTCACATTATTCTTCATGTCATTGCTACATGGAGAATTCACAAATGCAGCAGGGAAGGTAGGTAAAGCTTAAGCACTGAGGTGAATTAATAGCATTGTGGATTACTGTCAGGTAAGGAGACTAAAATATCTTCACATGGAGAAGATTATTTTTGCAACTCTAAGTCCAAAATGCTATTCTTTCTGGAAGCTTGCAATCAGCAAGCCATGGGCCTTCACAGGGAGCTCTTTGTTTTGATGGTAATGGACAATTAAAGGTATTTTTCCAGGCCTGCCTTTGTCATTGGTTACATAGGCAGCTACAGTTTTAGAACTGCATGTGACGAATGGATGCCATAGGGAGTTGTGGATCAGTAGAATTCTGTTCCTTTCCATGAGATCACAAAATGGTTGAGGCTAGAAGGGTCACCTAGCGCACACTACTCAGGATTGTCTCTGGATGGCTCTTGAATATCTCTAGGGAAGGAGACTCCTCACCCTCTCTGGGCAACATATTCCCATTGCTGAGTCACCCTCACAGTAAATTTCTTCCTCCTGTTCAGGTTGAGCTTTCTGTGAATTCAGTGATTTCTTTATGGCTATTTGTGATGTCCCAACAATAAGGCTAGTACACGTTTTCCATCCTCCTGGAAACTGCTGCAGGGAAGTCCAGAGTAATGCTGTCCTAGGCATTCATCATAGACCTCCTGGCTAGTAGTAAGATCAGTTAATTGCAGCATTGATATCCCTCTTCCTTAGCTAATCCATAGATAATACTATGGCAGTTTTTAAAATGTTCCCCGCCTGAACAGTTTGCACTCAGATAAGAGCTTCAATTTATCTCCTAAGTGTTGTGAAGCTCCATGCATCACATATTACAAAATAGATTTCATGAACTGCAGGAATACATGTGTCATTCGTTTTTTGGAGCTGTTTTAAAGTCACATGAACATGTAGATCTGTTGTTCCAGCCAAGGCAGCAAATTGTGCAGTTTATCTCAAAGGTAGTAAAAGCACAAGTTTCCACATGTTTTATCTTGCCCCATATGACAATTTGTAAGGATTATTCTTCTTTTGCAGGATAGCCAGAATAAATGGCACCTGTTATTTGCAGTTTTGTCCTCTCTGATGTCTTCAAACCTTTCATTTCAATAAATAGGCAAATATTGGTTGCATTCTCTAAGGTGAAAGGCACGAAACCACAGCTAAAAATGATAGTCAATTCTACAGAAGTGTCAAGATGAAAAGCAAGAACTAAGCTAACATGACATGTAGTATGTAGTTTGGAGGATCTTGCTTTCTATGAATGAAATCTGTCTCTTTCACTCTCTGCTATTCACGCTTGCAACTGCATGAGTGTCATACAAGCTGTTTCATGCTTGACAGTCTGTTTCAACTGGGATATCTATTACTCTGGCAGTTCTTTTGCAGATTCGAAGCCCTCATTTACATAGAGTGGAAACCCTTTTTTTTTCCTCCTCGGATTTTTATGAGTAGAAGCACTTTTTTTTTTTTTCTTACACTATATCTATAATAATCCATCACACATTGATTTCTCTTATTTCTTTCACCTGAGGCTGTTCTTCTGCTATTTATACAGTTTTCTTTTAAATCTGGTTAGGATTTCTCAAGTAAAACATTCATTTGGGAGTAGGAAACTGTAAGCAAAGAATTTATTTTCATTCCTGTCACTCTCCTCCTTTGTCTTTCTACCTGGCAATTGAAAGTCTGAGCACTTTCACCAGCAACCTTATGTTGGAAGAGATAACCTCATATTTATTGTATTGCGATAAAAAGTGAACAGTAGAACTGAACTGAAAGGTGACAGTTCTCTGGCTGGCTAATAGAATAAAATCACATGGCTGGGAAGAAAACAGCAGATAGTTTTACAGTAAGTTCTGTACATCCTTGCAGTGAAAACTCAAAAAAGAAGATCTAATGTTCATCAGAGCTTTGAAAACACACCAACTTCTTCTTGCTTAAAGAATAAGAATTGTCCAGGGAAAGTTAAGTGGCAGTATCAGGGAGCCTAATGAGGACCCTTCCCTGCCTTGAATACCCTGCATGGTGGCCAAACTTCTCAGGTGAAACTTTGTGTGCTAAGTAAGTGTCTGATAGAATCATGGAATAGTTAGGGTTGGAAAGGACCTTAAGATCATCTAGTTCCAACACCCCTGCCATGGGCTGGGACACCTCACACTAAACTCTGTCACCCAAGGCTTTGTCCAGCCTGGCCTTGAACACTGCCAGGGATGGAGCATTCGCAGCTTCCCTGTGCAACCCATTCCAGTGCCTCACCACCCTCACAGTAAAGAACTTCTTCCTTATATCCAATCTAAACTTACCCTATTTAAGTTTTAACCCATTACCCCTTGTCCTATCACTACAGTAACAGAACAGTTGTTTTTTCTTATTTACTCATTAGAAGACAAAGTTAATAAAATGTTTGCAAACAGACTTGCCTTTTTTGGTGACTGGACAGAGTACAAATGTCTAAATATGTACATTTACCAGTGTCATTCTCTCTGTAGCGAGACTAAAATTTGAAAGGTTCTTTGTGTCTTGGCATCACATAGACCTTATTCAACATGACTCCATATAGAACCTCATGTGACCCTTGATGGTTAACTCTGGTATAGTTAGTCTATGCCTTAAATGTATTAACCTGAGATTGGGATGCCGGGTTTCGCTTGTGGTTGAAGGTTGGAGTATGTTTACTTACAGTGAGAAGAATTTGGTCCTGATTATTTTAAAATGGTGATCATTTTTCCTAGTAATTTTTCTGTAAAAACAGAATTGCTTCAGAAAGGATTTTTTTTCACTCTAGTCTGTTATAATCTGACTCTTGGAAATCAACCATTTCAGACTTGACCATTTCATTTTTGTCTTGGAAACAGCCATTACTTCTGAAGTTCAGGTTGTTTAATGAATGTGTTACTCTTACAGATAACTTGTCCCGGAGTACTGCTGAAAGACAAAGAGGAACTTTATCTCAGTGTCTCTGTATTTGGGCAGCACAAAAAAACTCAGTGTGTCCCAGCAGCGTTTCCACTCTTCTTTCAAGAAAAACTAGTATTTGAGAAGGTAAGATAGTGTCAATAGCTAGTACAAGCCAGGTAAAATCTATCCCAAACTCCACAGAAACTCACTGCAAAACCGCTGGGCACAAGCAGTCACACTGAGGATAGGAGTCACACACAGTATTATAATGCCTGCTTTTTTTCAGCACACAGGAGGTGTGTGTGTATATTATCCACATGTTTTACTCAAGATTTTTGCATGCTAGAGATTATAATGTATGTTGAGACTTTTTAGATGTTTGTTCATTCTTCTGTGAACTGTCCTTTCTCAGTGCCTGTTTTCCTGGCTTGGAAGGAACTGAATGTTGTTTTAAAAATTATGGCAAGTTGAAGAACAAAGGCTACAAGTTAATTTAATTTAGTAGAAAGACAGAATAGCAGCTCAAGCCTTTTTGGTGACATCTTTCTCCCTTTGAGATACTTTTCTCATGGTTTGTCACCAGAATTCCCAGGTTGGTACTCTGGCCTTCTAATTTATAGTTGTTTATTACTTATTCTGAGTCCCTGCTAGCTTCATTATTAGTACCACAGGGATAATGAAACACAGTATCTTGCAGATATGATCTGGCTTCTGGACCACCTATGAATAATAATACTTTGCCCTTTCTAGTTCTTTTCCTTTAAGCATCCCCCAGCACTTTGAAAACCAGACTGAGTAAACATCAGTGGTGCTCTGGTGATGTGGGTAAGATACAAACAATGATAATTTCACCAGCTACTGAAGTGTAGAAAAGACCATAGTTCTTTAAAGGCAAACATACCACAAACTGCTTAAGGGAGATGTACTGAATACTGTTTTCAGTTTAATTTAGGGGAGGACACCAGGATCCATCTGCTTACAAAAGAGGTGAACAAGAAAGCTGAGAATATCTGCCTTCTGACAAATAGCTATTGCTCAGGTCTAGATACTTGTGCAGCACCAGTACTTTGTGTTTTTTAGTGGCTGGTACCTTGAAAGTGATCTACACCACTCTGCTGGGACTTTTGTACTGAATTAGAGGAAAATCTGTTACCTACTGAATATCCAGTGCATCATCCTCCCTTATTCCTTGCCACCTATTTCACATGGGGTACAGCTTAAAAAGCACTGAACAGTACTCTGTACATGAATAGTCACTTCCATGGAAATAAAGCTCAAGGTGTAAATATATTAAAGAACATATTTTTTATCTATCAGAATTCTAGTACATTCAGCAATTTCTCTTTCAAAATTTTCTCAGACAATACTTCTCTCTATGTGTTCAGCTCTTCACAATACCTCCTAATTAAAATATGGAGAGCTAACCCTGAATGGCTAGAAAGCATATGACAAGAGCTGCTAGCTTTCAATGAATTTGATCACATGCCAAATGATAATTTCAGTTTCCTTTCTTTTACCAGTGGGGATAGGACTCTTGGCAACCATCTTGGCAAGGGAGAATATTGTCTTTTAGAGGTTTTTTTTTAACTTCTTTTTCCCTAGAGGTCTATCTGATTACTTTGGTGCATTATTACTTTTTATTAATTTCTTTTCCAGACATTTGCTGATATAGTTGATCCTGGAGACCTTGTGGAGTTACTGGAACGTAGGTTCTGCTTTTTATCTTTACTATGTTGTATGCATTAATGTCATGCATTTATAGGCTCCAAAGACTTTTTTGGGGATTAAAGTATGTGATAATTTTTCTGTCAAGAGCCTGTTCTCTGAAAAGCTAGTGGGTAACCAATGTAATATATCATGTACTAAGTAAGTAGAATGGTAACAGTGGGTTTTCAGAACAGAAGATTCCTGGCCAGTGCAGGTAGAGTTTTTTTGCTGTCTTTGAATACTAGTGACTTACCCAAAATACTGTTATCTAACAAAATGCCTCAAGAAATGTGTGCTACATGCTTTAGAACAGGAAAAGGGTAAAAAGTCATAATTAATGGAAAATCCAGCGGGTTATCCAGATAGATAACAGATTTCTGTATCTGATCTTTTTTATTATTATTATTATTATTAATTTTCAAATAAGCATAAACCTTTGTTTTTTGTAAAATTGCTCATTTTGCTTCCTAAGAAAATTATCTCTTGCCACATGTGGAGCGTAATGAATTGTAATGAGACAACACTGAACTCAGACTCCACAAATATGTGCCTTCATATTGGGAGTTATATGAAAAGGCAGCAAAGTTTGCTTCATCTTTAAAAGGAAGGACAAACTTGGCAGCAGATAGGACTTACCAAGTTCTAAGTCAAATTTAGAGTTGTCATTTGTACACTGCTAATGCCATTGTGTTCATCTGTGGTATTATGCAAACTGTTCTTAATTTCCTCTTATTGGTGTAGTGGAGGTAGTTCAGCTATGTACAGTGCTGTGGAGCTTAAATCAGCCAGTTTTCTTGGGGTTTGACTGGGAGAATTACTTTCCATTTTGTATTTTTTAACTCATGAAAAAACTTTTTCCCTTTCTAGTTGACACAACACTACTTGAACTAATACAGCTTGTTCCTCCAGGTATTGTATCAGTCTCTTCATAAATTATGCAGTTTAGTAGGTGAATTTCCATGAGGACATTGCCCCATTACAGCACAATCACTTCTTCCAAGATGCAAACAACATAGAAGGCTCTTCAACAAATAGTCCTCTGAATATAAAATGTTAATAGATCAAGAGGATCTCATTCTTGAAAGAGAATAATAACTGAATATTGAAATGTACCATACTCAAGCTTAGGAAAGTGATAATATTTTAAAAATGGAAAATAAACTGAACTCATCCAGTGCACACTAATTAACTGCATCACAATTCACTTGCAAAGTGGCTGTCTATGAAATTTCAGAGTGCATAATCTTGTTCTCAGAATGACACTTTTTTTTCCTTCCATTTTAATGGTGACCATTGGGAAAACTCTTATCCTCACTATAAGTATTACAGGTCTCTTGGGATATATGAAGATAATAAATAGCGATTTGTCATACTTCTGTTATTGGTTTGTGTGATTATAAAAATCCATTTTAATGAAATTCAAGTGTTCCCATGAATAATGTAAATCTGCATTTTATTGGAAATAAAGTCAAGTTTTAAAGAGGACTCATTTGGAAACTGGTATTAAAAGCGCTCGCTGTCTCCTGTCCTTAGTACTTTCAAGGAAGCAGTTTCTTCTCTTGGGTGACTCACCAGGCTCTTTACATGAAGAAATGTACTAAACACAGATTTTTATTGTGGGAGGGTAAAAGATCTTTCATAAGGAGTTAAATTTCAGGGGTCAGCCCAACATAAGCTGATAAGATGACTGCAATAGCACAGTTTTTAATTTTTTTTGTACTATAAGTTCAAGGTTTTCCCCTAAAGAAAATAGTTTTTTAAGAGAAGTAGTAAACCAGGATAGTGACAAAATCTTGGGATAATTATTTTGATGTTGCTTGCATTTCTTTCTTATTACTATGCCCGCTATTACTACTATTCTGTAATATGGAATGATGCAGCTTTTGATAAGGGATTTGCTGCCATAAAAAAAAGAATACTGATTTCTTCTGTGGCATGGAAGTGAAAAAAAGGGGAAAACTACTTAAGAATTGCCTATAGAAGACTTCTCTTACAGAACAGTTAAGACAATCTTAATTTTTTCCAGTAATTATGAATCATACTTTCAGAGTAGATTCTGCACACTGCTGCTGATTTAACTTGATAAGGTTATTTCCCAGTGTGATATGAGTTTTAGAGCCTTGCTGTTAATTTGTAGAGAACAAAACTTGCTGAGTTTCAGTATGGTCTTGTGCATGGTGTCTGTACTATGTCACTTTGTCTATTTTCCAATTAAGGTACATATTTTTCTTTTTAGTAGGAAATGTTCTAGCTACATATGAAGAAAATACAAGAGATTTCCTGTTTCCTGACCCTAAGCTTACCCATGGGCACCATGGTTTTGATCGTGAGATTTTAATGAAGAGGTCCTCTTCTTTTACAGTGAGTGAATATCTGTGAATTGTATTTATGATACAGTGTGTTCCACTGAAGAAGCCCCTTGAACTACTTCAAATGAAAAGTGATTACTTCTGACAGATTTTGCCATTTCAGGTGTTGAATGTACAAATTCACAGTTGAACTTTGATGAAGGTATAATCCCTTTTCAAAATGCTTCAAGAAATTATTCAATGAGAAAAAGTTAGTTTCCACTTGGTTTGCAGTGTGGCATCATGACATGGCTTCCATACAATTTAATCCATGATGCAGCTGGGAGTGGAAGGGGTGCAAGAGAAGAGGGAAATACCACACCAACTTCACAGTTCTCAACACTAAAACCATGTAACCCTCCTCCTCAGTCTGCCTTTGTAGGATTTTTTTTTGGACCATTTCTGGTACTGTTTAAGACAATGACAGCACAAATGTATAGTGCTATGTCATCTGACTTGTGGGCTTCTCTGAGGTGCAACGTTACCATGAAAACAGTAAGGAACTGAAATTTAGCTTAGTGCTGCATGATTATTTTTCAGTTCCAAAGCCTGTTTCTTAAGTTTGGGCCATTCACACTAGTTTAGTGACTTGCCTTTTCTACAGTTTCAAAAAAACTGTGATAAATGACAACTAATTGGCAGAATGAGTGCAATGAATTAATGTTAATTTTCTGGAGATAACAGCTGAAGTACGTAGTAAATGAAAATGAATTCATATCACACTGCCCTTTCATAGAGTTTGACTGTTGAATCTTGGGCGTCGGTGGAATAACTCAGGAAGGCACTTTGAAGATGATGATGTGGGAGGTGTGTTTTGTGGCTTGTTTTATCCTATTTTCATTAGGTTTTACTGGTGGATTGGCAGGAGATTTGAATTGGGAAAATAGGGGCTTACTTACCCTGTCCATTGTGATTGGATTGAAAACTCATGTCTGTTGGAAAATTATGACTAAAGGTCATTGGTACCTTTTAGCTGGTATAATCTTTCCCCTACAAGGGCAACTTGGAAATTGCCCAGTCACTTGCAATTAGAAGTGCTAATTTGTTGTCTAATGCTGTGTTACATTTAAATGAATTAAAGCCGTGATTTTGTGATACAAAATGTATGGTTCTGCAGCAGTTTAAACTGTCCCTGCAAAAATAGCAAAATTGGGTTTTGACCGTAGCATTCTTTGATATGGCTTATCCTATGCGTGTTACTGGTGTCTCAAGAGAGGGGATGGGACTGTATTGCTTTCATATTACTTGTAGAATAGGTACTTTCCTAATATTGGAAAAGCACAGATAGGGAGGCAGTAATATATGAGATGGTATTAGCAAAATGGTTTCAGATTTTTTGTAAATGCAATACGAGGAATCTTTGCAGAAGCAGAACCAATAAAGAAGTTTGTTGGACTGAGGTCTTGAATACAAAAATTAGGTACTTTCTGATAAAGAGAAGGTGCTGTAATTTGTGAGCTCTAGAATATGTGATCAGAGTCATTTGGATGTGTAGCTGAATGATGACACTGTAGTAGCTTTAAGAAGTGTAAGACAGATGTAAGAGAGAAATGTGCTTCCATGTCCTTGGGAACAGTGTAAATGAAATCCATCTCTGCCCTGGAACGAGGACTGCAGCAGCTGTTGCTCCATACCATCTCCATCACAGAAACAGTTTAAGAAAGGAATTTGGCACACTGACCCCAGTTTTCTGAATAATAAAGAATCTGTGTTAGATGGAATTGGAGGGATGCTCCCAAAAAGAACTTGTGGTTCCTCTCCTTGCTTGCCAAATGGGATAGCTGTGAAAGAATTTTTACCTCCAGTAGAAGTGCAGTCTCAAATGCCTCCATCTTCTAATGTTCCTTAATCTTTACTGGCAAGTGTCTCCTGCTAACTCTGTCCACACCAAGCACTGAATGTGAATGCTAAGCAAAAGGCAAAAGTGTTAAACAAGGTCATGAGAACCCTCACATTATTCCTATGCCAGTCAAAGCCATGTTCTTCCCTCATGAAAAGTTATTTATAGCTAGCTGAGATGTTGAGTATTTTTGACTGACAGCTGTGCTTCGGCAGCACTTTGATTGCCAATAAATTTGTCTTTTATTAAAAGAAAATAAAGGTAGCAACAGCAGGGTTACGGTTGTGGAGTTCAGATAGGCAGTGACAAGCAGTGTCTGATTAACACTGCTAATCTGCCAGTTGGAAGGAATCCCGAGTTTAGAGGATCAGAACTCCTCCAGAAATCTGGCACTTGTCTGATAATGTCTCTGGCTAAATGTCTTACGAGGCTTACAAACACAATACACATACAGGACATGCCTCGAGTTATCTCTCCTGGTCCAGTGTTGCCCAGCTGAGGTTTTGCTGGCTCTTCTGTATTTCTCTGTAACCTTTGCCTTTCAGAATATGTTTAAGCCTTGACTGCTGATGACTTCTTACAGATGGTCTTATCTCCATTCCCACCCTCGTGCAGTATTTGCCATGTTACTTAAAGCAGTTTCTTTTTAGCTATGCTTTCATTAGCAAACCAATGCAAGGCGTTCTATTATATTCATATATACCTTTTTGTGCTACAGACTTGTACTTATTCTCCTGGCAATCAAAGTACATATTAGACTTGTTTTCTAACTTGTGTTCTTCTAAATATGAACCACCTTTAATTTTTTTTTCTATGAGCAAATTATTATTAAATCCTTATCACTTCTGTTTAATGGCTGATACAGAAGGATTGACAAGCCTGATCAGGGCTGTAGACACCACTAAGCCAGAGGCAGAAGAACAGATCCCAAAAACCTTCTGGCTGGATTTTCATTTACAGATATCTTTGGGGCTATATGGCAGTCTTTTCATAATGCTATATTGAATACCCTTCAGCAATCCCTAGTTTGGGAACTGCAGAAAATGGAAGTTCTCTGATTGCTTTTGGCCTATAAGTTACTTTTGACATCTCCTTGCCTGTGTATGCCAATGCCATCCTGTATCCTCTGTCCACACACCATTTCTTTGAAGAGGACATAGTTTTGTGTGATTTATTTCATTTTAGGTAGGAGCGTTTAACAATCCTGTAATCATTTCCAGTCTCTGTAAGAGCAGTAGGTGCTCAGTTGTTGCTTTTTATAGAAGACTTTCTAATTGTGTTATGTCCTTTTTTAAATTGTTGATAGCACTTGACAATTCATTTGTAATAAAATTAGTTGATTAAAGATGGTCAGCTTTAAAGTCTCTTTTATGTGCCATAACTTGACTTGATTGAATCCTGGGCTCAGTTAATTGTTATGACTGAGCTTTCGTGGCATTTTTGTCATTTCATTTCTGTAATCTAACCTGGAGTCAGATCATATTCCCTTGTGGGAAATCAGTGTGTGTTCAGTCTGGTAGTAGAGGACAGTTTGGTTCAGCAGTAGACTTCACTTACGAAGTTCCTGCTAATTCTTAAGAACAGAGGGCAGAGTCACAAACAGACCAGCTCCTTTTTGTTTCTTGGTGATTTTGTGCATTCATGTGCACAAATGCCGATGCACACAGATGCCTCAGAGCAGCAAACTCTCTCTGTGTTGAAAGGAGAGAGGGGAGAAAGTTCTAGGGATGATTGATTCTGTCTTTGCTTCTGCAGAGCTGTATAAGATGCACATAGGTGATCCCCACTTTTTATAGCATATGTGGCCTTTAGTTCTTTTATGACTTTTTTAATGTCACTCAACTTGTGTGTTGGAATCTCTGCCATTTACACCCAGTACATTTGTATATGTTGGTCAATTCTAGATAAATTTCACAGCAGACAGCTCTTGGAGGTATTATGTTTCTAGACGTGGCTGCAGTAAAGAAAGATGAGTTGAACAGAAACTGTTAGCCACATAAAGACAGATAAATCTGCTAGCCGTTAGTACAAGTGTGCTGCTTGTCCAGGAGGTCCAGTTGGACCTCACTGATTCTAAATTGGTAAGCTGCCTCTTGCCAGCCACATGTGTAAGAGGGGATTGAAAGTGAAACGTGGTTACAGAACATGGGAGACGATCCATAGAAATCAGACTTTGATCTAATGGTTACAGAATAAAGAGTATTCTTAATCATACTGTTACAAATTGATGGTAATTTGCAGTGTAACTGACCAATTTTCAATATGTTTTTACCAAAAAAGATTGCACAATTGAGACTGTTTATAAATAAGTTTCCAAAGTTAGAGTTAATGAAACTTCCAGAGCATGACTGGAATTTTTATTGATGCTATATAGCATGGCATGAAAAATCTTTGAAAGTGCTTTTGACTAAGATATGTGTTGAAATAAAAGTCAGACCTTAATTGTTGTACGAAAGCAATATAATCATCTGTAATTGAATTGTCAGAAATGCAAATGTTAGCATCTTGACATTTACCATTGCTGTTCTGTCTTTTCTAATTATCTTTATTAAAGGCTGAAATTAACAAAGGAAATGGCTGAAAATTAGGAATGGTTTGTTACATTAGGTGACATTTACCTCTTTGATACCCTTTATCTTGAGTTGGAGCTTGATGTTCAATTATTGTCTCTCTTCTAGGGAATTGCACCAAAACTGAGATTTTCTACAAGCTCCCTTATTACAGAAAGCCTGTTAAGCTCAGGAAGGAGTCACATACAGGTTAGCATAATTTAATTGTTTGCAATTTAATTTTTAGATTTAATATTGATAGCCTTGCGTCCAATTTTTGCATGTGCTGCTCACTTCAAACTTTTCTCATTCTTTTGTTGTGGTTAAAGCAGTTATCATGGGTGCTTGACAACTTGATTAAATTTTTAATCAAGTATGAGTAAAGAGTGGGCTCGGTGCATGACAGCAAACGCTGAGAGTTCCTTGAATCTGAAACAATTATCAGCTGCTGTGTTCTATGATCAGCTGAAGTGTCAATCCCCGGTGTATTTATAGGTGGGAAGATGCCTTCTCACCATTTCTTACTGACACTTAAAATTAAGGACAATGAAAGCCAGGTGAAGTCAGAAAAGGTATCTTATAAAAACCAACCCAATTAATTTAATTGTTTTCTGTAACAGTATCAGTAACAGTAATGAAGATGAAAAAAATGAAGATTTTTTTGTTGAAATGGCTGTCACCAGTATTAATCTGGAAATGCTGCTTTTGCAACAAGCAAAGTTGAACTAGCTGAAGAGACTAGGGGGAAAAAGGATCTCCTATGTGTTCAGTCATTTGGTAGCACTTTACTCTGGTCTCATGGATTGGAATTTTGGTTGGGTTTCCTGGCACAGGTTGTCATGTAAAGTTATTTGTATGTCCTCCTGTTTTTTGCTGTAGTACTGGAAAAATTGTTCAGCCTCATTAAAATGGAATGGTTGTCGGGAAGGCTTGCATGCAGAGAAGGTTAAGGAAGTGTTTGTGGCATTTCTAATTAGTTATTGAGAAGTTTCTTCCAAATTCAGCAAACAAAATGTATTGAGACACTTAGATAAAGAATTAAAAAAATAATAAAACAGTAATTGTCAGAAAACTAACTTCAGTTTGATTTAAAATTTAAAATGTCCTTAAAAATATTTAATATGTTATGAATGACATATAAAATTTGTATGTGTTGCAGTGAAGGTCTAGTTTCACAATTGGTGCAAGCCAGAAGAAGCACAGTTTACTTCTGATTAAATTGAAATTAAGCTTAGAGAATTAGGTCTGGGTTTGTTTGGGCCAGTTCCATACTCCAGCTCACTACAGGTGCACAAGTGCTAGTGCAGGAGTGAGAAAGATACTGGCATGAATAGTCCGAGTGATGCCAGATTCACACTGTGTTGGTGCAAAACAAACGCACAACCTCAGCCTCTTTTGTTGTTGGGCAGAGAAGTGATTCAGAGCAGTCCTGCAGAGAAGGACTTAGGGGTGTTGGTTGATGAGAAACTGAATGTGAGCCAGCAATGTGCACTTGCAGGCCAGGAAGCCACTCGTATACTGGCTACATCAAAAGAAGCGTGACCAGCAGGTCAAAGGAGGTGATCCTGCCCCTCTACTCTGCTCTTGTGAGACCTCACCTGGAGTATTGTGTGCAGTTCTTGTGTCCTCAACATAAAAAGGACATGGAACTGTTGGAACAAGTCCAGAGAAGGGCCACGAGGATGATCAGGGGACTGGAGCACCTCCCGTATGAAGACAGGCTGAAGAACTTGGGGCTGTTCAGCCTGGAGAAGAGAAGGCTGCGTGGAGACCTCATAGCAGCCTTCCAGTATCTAAAGGGGGCCTATAAAGATGTTGGGGAGGGACTCTTCATCAAGGACAGAGGATAGGACAAGGGACAGTGGGTTTAAACTTGAGCAGGAGAGATTTAGGTTAGACATTAGGCAGAAGTTCTTCCCTGTGAGGCACTGGAATAGGCTGCCCAAAGAAGTGGTAACTGCTCCATCCCTGGCAGTGTTCAAGGCCAGGTTGGACAGAGCCTTGGGTGACACGGTCTAGTGTGAGGTGTCTTTGCCCATGGCAGGACATGGGACTAGGTGATCTTCGGGTCCTTTCCAACCCAAACCATTCTGTGATTCTGTATAGAGAAAAAGGCTTGAAGTCAAGCTGGACATTTCATTTCTGAGTTCTTCTGAAGCAGTTTGTGCAACATTCAGATTTATGACTAATGTCAGTTTCCTCAAGCTTGAAGAGGAATTTCCAACAGGAAGAAGAGTTTTGCTATACGATTATTTTTTGTCTTTTATAATTTGTGAATTTGGGCCAAATTTGAACAAAAAGTTAATTATATCTGTACTGTGGTATTCAAAGATAAAATGCTGCTGATTAAGTAGCCTAGTAAGAATTGTAGAATCTAGAGTACCTTGACCTATAAAGCTTGTAGATTAATTGATTGCTCGTTTAATGCTAGGGTTTACAAAGGAATTATAATGTATTTCCAACAAAACTCCAGTGTTGGAAACAGCTTCCCAGAATATGAAATCAGTCACTGAAGACGTTAAGAGTTACTTGGAGGGGGTGTCAGCCCTGGTTGCTAGATAGGCTTTGCTGGTTGTGGGAAGGGAGGTGGTTAGGTTGGTTGTTCCTCCACGGTCCTTGTTTCTGCTGTATGTAGGTGTTTTAAAAGCAATGCCAACTCAGAGATAGACTTTTAAGGCAATATTTGATAGTAGTGGGATTTTTATAAGTTTTAGCTTCAAAATCCATATTGTGGGTGTCAAGTGCCAGCTGTAAAATAAACAGCTGCTTTACCTCTCCTTTTGAAGAAGCATTCACACAATTTGAGAGGATCTTTGGAAGATGGTCTTTAAACATTTTTTGTTGGTATTTTTTTGGGGAGGATGTTTTTTATTTGTTTGGCTGTCTTTTTACTAAACATAGCTTCTTTATTATAACTCCTTGAAAAACTAGTAACTTCACTATGATCCAAGAAAATATAGATTTCAGAGAATGCAGAGACTTCTTGTAAGGCTTTGGGCAACTCTAAATGCATATAAATTAAAATATTAAACAGGCTTCTAGTTCAATTTATATATTTTATTGTAAAGGGAGAGAGTTCTAAAGGGTTAAAAAGAGCTTAAACAGATGAAAAAATGCTTCAAATCTGTGTCTGTGCAACCCAGGTAAACTTTGTGTGAAATGAAGTTGTGACAAAACTCAATTTACTTTTTCACAGTCTCTGTACACTAACTGTGTGAGAAAGCTAATTGGGTGAGTATCAGACACTCTACCTTAACTAGCATCTAGTAACGTGTGGTTTAACCTTCTTTTGGTTTCAGAGAAAATGGAAAATACGTTGTTGCATTTTAAATTGCTGTTTGATTGTAATTGTATGAGGGGAAATCAGTTCCCTCTTTACATTATTTTCAGTGATCTTTGTTCTGCGTGCTGTCAAAGCAGATAATTTCTCTTTTTCACTTTAGGATGATTTGAATTTGGTACATCACTCAACCCCAAATGGAAAATTGCAAACAAAGTTGCCAAAGAAAAATACTCTTTCACCTGAGAAAAACAGGAACAGCTTAGCAACAAAGAGCTACGAGCAGCCTACAATAGCTTCTAAATCACGTTCTCCATCTCCATACACAAAAAGACGAATGTGTGAGCTATCACAAGACGCCAGGCAACGACTGGCCCATTTAAAACTTGGTCCTTATGAATTCAGAAGAGATACCGATAAACCTCCATTTGTAGTTAGACGGGTTTGTATTCTCTCCAAAGTGCTTAAAGCTTAAGCTCAGATCAAATATTGTTCTTTCACTAAATATAGCTCCAAAATTTCATTCAGCTCTTAGTTTAGATGAATAATTTTTCTCTCCTTAACAGTCTGTCACATAGTGATTTAAATGTAAAATTAACTAAAATAAAATTTCTTTTATCCGCGTTAGTAACAGACAAAGATCAAATTCTTTCATGAATATCTTGGTTAAATTCTCCAAGGCTCCATTTCTTTTCTTCCAGCGCACTAGACAGGATAATAGGTGTATAAATTCAGCTTGGAAGTAATTGATATCGGTATTAAAAATTCCTGAATAAGACTTTAAAGAAAGAGTGTCTAGTCACATTCTGAACATTTGCACTTCCTCTCTTTCAACTTTTTTTATGTTGGCATCCTGTGATCTTTGAAACACTTCCTCTGCTCAGAGCTACATCTCTAACACTTTGACTCATAACACTAACACTTTGGTTCATAATCAAACTGACTTTAGCACCCGCATAAGGACTTTGTTAACCGTATGTGAAAAATTGCTCTGAAATTAGGTACTTATTTAAAGAAACTGTGTTTAAGTGCTTTAATATGAAGGGGGCAGATTTCACATCCTCTTGGAGGATGATATTCTCATATTTTTTTTCCCCCTTTTAGTATTACATATAATTGCAACAGCCCTTTCTTTTTAGAAAACCACTTTGACTGTGTAGGGGCAGACATGGCATTGTTCTGATTCTCTGCTGTGACATTATGATTTGCCTGCAATTCTGGAAGCTTCTCAAAGCCATTGAGAATTTAGTGTTTAATTAGTTTGCTTCTCACTTTATTTATGTTTTTTTTTTTAGTTTATGTACAAATGAATTAATAATATCTTGTCAAATTTCAGAACTCTTTTCCAAGTTTTGTTCTACATATGGGTACCTTCAGAAATTCAGATTAGCCTTAATAAACCATTAAGCATTCATAACATATTCTCTCCCTTTATTTCTCTCTCAGATATTTTACTTTTATCTCCTTTTAATCAATTCTTCATTTTTTTGATCTATAGGTGAAGTTTAGTTTAATTATAGCATCTTTAAACACTGATTATTGATTCAATTGCTTGGTTATATTTGTACAAAAAAGGAAAAACCTTTTCTCTTAATGTACCGTATCCTGACTTTCATGGCCTTTCTAGATTGAGAATGCTCCTTTTAGGGCAGCTTTACTGCCGAGGACTCTTTTGGCCTGGAGATTTTGTTTTACATGAAGGTTAAAATTAGATTATGTTAAATGTAACTTTTTTAATTAGGAAGGGATTCAGATCTCACTTTGTGACATCTGAACTCTTTGGATTAAGTGTGAGATGCAAGAATTGGTTCAAAAACTGCAGACATGATAGATGAAGGAGAAGCTATTTGCATTTTTTTCTTTGAACAATATGATATTCAGAGCTTTTCTAGACCTTCCTAGCACTGTTTCTGTTTGTGCTCAGTAATGTTAATAATATATATAATGTAAGCAAAGTGTAGTAAAATCAGTTTCAAATAGTATTTAAATAAAAATAGTATATTTCAGACAGGACTGGATGTGATCTTATGAACAAAACCAAAAAAAAATTAGGAACTTGTACATCTTATACTGATCATTTTAACAGTATCTTTGCTTCAGGTTGAACAGCCAAGTCCCGGTGCTAAACTCCATACCTGTTGTCATACACGAGAAAGTGCAGCAGAAGCCTGGAACAAGGCAGACCATGGTCAGTATTTTCTACTATATATCTCAGTAATGCTTTTATTTTCTGCAGAAATGTTGGTCTATAATGGAGAAAAAGGAAGAATACTGCATAAGCTACTGCTGCAAAAGGTGGTTTTGAATACTACTTTACTTCATGAAACTTGAAACGTAGTCCTATGTAGTATGAAAGTAGGAGTAGAACATAGCAAAGCTCAGGTGAGGACTCTTTCACTCCACTTGTTTTAATGAGTTGCATAGTGCAGCAAATCTGCACCTCAGCCTCTAGGTGTGTTGATCAGGCTTGGAGTATTGATCATTTTGAAGTTTAAGGGCTGTTTTGCTTCAGAAAAGAGTATTTATTTCAGCAGTATTTGTAAGTAGTGGATCAGTGACTTACCATTATTAATGAGCATCCAGGATGTGCTCCAATATCTGCTTCATCATTCACTAGTGTCAGTAAGTGAGAGTTTAATAAGAAGTGTCAGACCAGAAATTTAAAGAAGTACCCTAAAACGTGATTTTATTGCATATGTCTGGCAACGTATTTCACGTCTCATCAATATTTGTTCATTATGTGTGCTCTGCCTCATTCTTATTGTGCCTCCTCACTAATTACAAGTTTTTATGTAGGAAATTATTGTGAATTTGTTATTTTACATTTGTTCTTTGTAGTAACACTGAATCTACCTCGAGAGGATTCACTGGTTACCTGCTTGTGTCTTGAAGCTTAACTGTAACTTCTGAACAAAACAGATTCCTAGGATTAAAAACCTTAATACTGACAGTACAGTTTAGTCCTTTTGGCTTTTGTGCAGGTAGCTTATAGAGGGGTGTCTTTACATTGTGGTGCAGCATAGAAGTACCTCTTTGAGCTTAGGTTGCTACAGACTGGTAGAAATAATCAATAAAGCAGATACAACTTAATGTCAGTCTCACAGAGATGAGTCTTGTATTGACATTGGTGAAACATCCTCACCCAATATTGACCTAATAGTTTCCTCACATATGTTTCCATGGCCTTCATACTCATGTTTGTGCATCAGTTGTGAGGGATGAAATTAAGAGATTATAAGAGGAGGGAAAAGGAGCCATAAGGAAGCTTGTCCAGAGAAGATTAGTAAGGTAGTGTAATGTGCATGAGAATTTTTGGGAATGGTGGAGCCTGATTTTATACTTATTTAGGCAATTAATAGATTAACAGAATCCAGGACACTTGCATACACCAGTTAATTATTATAAATATTATATTCCATTAAATGTGGGAATTGTTTTCAGCTAAAGAAGGTGATATCCTGAAATATTCTGAGACTGTTTAGAAATTCAGAGGGTATAATAACAACAATAATAATAGTAATAATAACAACAACTTTAATATTGTTTGGGAGGAGAGGTAAGCTATTTTGTAGATTTCATAAAATTGAGGACATTTGGATTATTTTTTTTTTTTTTTTTAAATTTCTTCTGGGATACATCTTTTTTCTTTCTCCAGATTCTTCTCTTCTTGGCAGCTACAGACCCAGGAAAGCCAAAGTGAGTACTCTGAAATACTACTGTTTACACACTGTTTTTTGGGAAGCTGTGAGTGAGAAGGATTGTCTTGCATATTTTCTTGCATAGGTATTTTTGAAACTTTATCTACTGTAGTAGCAAAAGCAAGCAAAGGGATATGTTTGTTAAATCTGATCTAACCCAGTTTAGGCCTGCTGACAGCTTATTTACACATAGAAAAATGAAACTTAACACTCTATATTTGTGCTTGTAGGTACAGGCCTTGCTTCTCCTTGGCATTAAGGCTTGTGACAAGGCTATAGAAGAGCTTTTAAAGGCAGTTTGCCTTCCCAGTCCTTCTCAGAGCAAACTCCACTCTAGAATTATATAGAAGGGTAGCACTTGTGCAACTGGGAAGTCACTGTTCTGTTATTTCACATCCTTCCTTTTTCAGATCTTAGCTGCTTTGTATATTCCATGAATCTAAAGAATGATGTCAGGGTTCCCTTAGTTTTGTTGGGTTTTATTCTTTCCATCCTCCTTTAGTTGTTTTGCCTGTCTTCTTGAAGTACTGTAGGAATCATGGGTTTAGGCATTTAATTATGTATGCCCTCTTGGATTTCCTAATGGCTGGGAAAACTGATGATGACGGGGAGGAAGAAAGAAGGTGAATTATAAGGATAAACCTTGCCATATATTAAGTGCACTTTTGTCAGATTCTAAGCTTTTATTACCAAGGATTGCAGTTTTGCCTACCATGTAATTCTAATATATTGTGCCACTTCTAGCTTGTTCCATGTCTGTAAATGAGATACTGTAAAGAAAACAGGGAAATTCTACTAAATATACTAAATATGTATTTTTGGTTTTGTTTCTTTAAGATTGCTATTTTAAAGTCGTATCGTTTCCCACATCCCTCTGCTCTCCCCCAGTGGGAAAGCAGATTTTAGAAGCAGTAGATTTTATGCAGATAGCTGCAGGTTAAGTCATCATGTTCTTGATGCCACTAATTACTTGTGATTCTCACAAAATTAGGGCTGAAGAGAATGTATCTCTTTCTTGCCAGAAATATAATACAGCTTTGTTTAAAAGGAGCTGTTTCCCAAAGCTGAGAGGAAATAACCCAGCAGCCTGGAAAGAGCTTATGAATAACCTGATTACTATTGGTCTGGTTTTGTTGTGGGTTTTTGTTTTCCTTAGGTTTGGGAAACAGCTCCTGTAAAAGTCTCCATGCCAGATAAAAGGTGGTAACCCACAGAGACTTTTTAGTGGTGTGTTACATGTTAAGAGGAATCATGAAAGGAGTAATGAGTGTAATGAAGAGTGAGTAGATGATGAGTAGATGGGCCTGAGTTTTCCCTTGAGGAACATCAAATCATGAGAGAGCAAAAAGTCTAAAAACAAGGGGTATCAGATGGAGGAGAAGACTAAGGTTTGTGTTTTTTAAACTCTCTGGCATCATTCTGAATCTGTGAGATTTCTGGGAAGGGTAAGCCTTTAAACTGTGCAATGAGACAAGGTGATAAAAGGGCTGTTACAGTAGCCTTTGTCGTAAGATGGTGTGTAAGATACCAGCAAAATCCTCTGACACTTGCTGATTTAATTTAGACCAGGGCTCTTTCTATGAAATGAGGGTCCTTGTTCTTTCTGCAGCAGGCAGATATTCCTGCATGTGTGTGCAACCTTTAGCCTTTTGGTTTGAAAAACAGAAATATGAAATGTTTACATCTTGATATTCATAATAAAATTTAGCAAGGTTTGGTGGGGTTTTTTACAGGCAAAATCTCCTCATGGAAAATACTTTGGCAGCTCTGATGTTTGCAATGAGGATGTGATCTCAATTCCAGACAACAGACGGTCCCATTCTGCTGGTTCATTAGAGCATTCAGCATCTCCAGCACTTCATAAGCATTCTCTAAGTTCTGTGCTAAATCGATCCTCTCTAAGGGAAAGGTAATGTCCTAGTTTTGTTTGTGAAATTCTGGAGTTACTAACATGAGCAGATTATAACAGTGCTTGCATGACTGTAGCTTGCATGTTTGGAGGTATGCAGGCTGAAGAGACCGAAAAGTCTTTCCCCAACAACTGTATTGTTGTTTGACTTCTCTTCAGGTGCAGTGTTTGCCATCCCCTCTCTGCTTAATGAATAATGCGGCAATGAAAAGGATCTTTGACATCTCTGCTGCTAACCTTCTCTGAAATAATGAAGCTCTAGATTTCAGGCCGCCAAATGTCCATCTAAAACAGAGAATACTTAAATAATCATTGTCTCACAGACAATTAGAATCTCAGGAATGTGACTATAGCTACATGTCAAATAGGCTTAATGGGAGGTACCTGGAAACCTTTTGTAAGCACATACTTGTGGCTATGCTGTAGTCAGATGCATGACTAGTGTGTGAAACATGCTTGGGCTAGCATTAATCTAGTAAGTGTATTATTTTCCAATCTTTCTGATTAATTGACAGCTTAAGATTTTGTTTTGTTTGAGTTGAAGTGTGGGTCTCTGCAGGAGTTGTGTATCTATTCATTGCTATATTTAAATTAGTTTTATTAGTCTCCACTGACCACAGTGAGGTTGGGGTGGAGACAGTTTCCAGTATTCCTTAGTTCAGTGGATTTCAGTCCCTGGGTTAGTATTTTGGGCAATCCTTACAGCTTCAGTCTCATGAGAGTGAGATAGAAGAAATGTCAAAAAGCAACCAATTTTTTCTTGCTTAATTCCTCCAGTCCTTCAAGGCAAGTATTCCCTACCTCCTGCTGAGTGTATTTGGTGCACAATGCCTCTACTGTACATTCAGTTTAGCAAGTAACTAGATGGCTTTCTGGGAGCAGAAAATCTTTATACAAAGCTGGACCTGAATAAGCAAATACATAAAATAATTGGGAGAAGTTGAGGATCAAACTGATGTCCTGTCCTAAATGCTGAAGTGTGTTCTGAGGCCCTACTTGGAGATGTACTTTGGTGGCTAGTTCACACTCGTTCCAGACTGTTTCACCCATGTTACCGGTTGTACCTCAGTTAGTCAATGCTCACAAGGTGCCTTTTATAGCCTACACACAGCCTAGTTCTTTTTTGTCTCAGATTTTTTCTCTAAAAAGAAAAATGACAGATGGCAGGTGGGGATTGAATTTTTAATATTCATAAAGATCAAGTTGGTGTTTTAACATCTTCCTCTGCTTGAAAACTTGCTTGTCTGTTGATCTGTGTAATAGTATTTCTTGAGAACTGTTATACAGAGATTAGGATGCAGCTGGGGTTTGGAGGAAGCTTCTTTGTCATCTTGTCTACCTCCCCACTCTCTTCTGATAATGTCAGTGCATTAGTTCCCCATGTCTGGGGAAGAGATATAGTAATGGGGACTTCTTTAATCCTTTTTCCAGCTGGACTTCGTTTGGGAAGGGGAGTACATTTTAAAATGCATTATATTTAAAGCTGGAAGTGTCTTTTATATTGATAGCAGAAAAGTCTTGTATGTTGTGAGCTGCTGTTACATGCATGGTCACTTAATCTTGAATTTGTCTGAATGTTCTTGCTTTTTCTCTTTATGAGCCCCTCTTCAGAAGAGATTTGTGATGTTGTGAAAGTATATTTTTTCTTCTGATTAGAACAAATGTTCTCAGCTTTTTAGAGATGTAAGATCTCTTTATGTTACTCTTTATGTTAAAGATGTAAGCACTTAATTTTGTCATCAGGAAATTATCAAAATGAGAAGGTAAAGGGCATAGGCTCAAAAAAATTTATTTCATGCTGCTGAGAGAACAGTTTTAGCTGACTGTATACTGAGAGTTATACTTGGAATGACAAACATGGAGCAGAGGTCAATGTTTGGAAATGCATGCAAACGCTGTTGTTCAGATCATAGAAATACAGAGAAAATGAGTACTACTGAAAGTACATCAGTGTTAGTGTATTCGCAAGAATATAGAGTCTTATCTCACAGTATTTGATGTTTATTTCCTCAATTTTATTTTGAATTACAAAGACAAAGAGCTTAGCGTATCCAGGCTTATATTTTTAATGTTAGTCAACCCAGGGTGAATATGGAACTTGACTCCCCACCTTGACCTTTAGTTCCCTTTTTTCCTTTTTTTCTCTTTAAAAAGAGTAGTGTGAAGTGAATATGTGTCTTCTTGGGAGTATTTGCCAGAGCCAGCTGCTGTGAAGTCACTGAAATACTTTTCCGAGGTACAGAAAATGGGGTCTTGCATAAGGTCCTCTGAGCCCTTTTGTATCCTTTCTAGCAGTTTCCAGTCCCTTTGCTTGAGGGACCACAAGGACAGTCCTCTCCCCTTTTCCCCTGGGTTTGAGCCAGAAGCAGAACTGTAAATAGATTTACTGCTGAATCAGGGCAGCAAAGTTTTGAATATTTATTTTTCATATTTTAGTTTTACATTTTTCATTATTTAGGTCACCTAACATTTGCTGGTGTTGCAAACTGACTCTCAGTAGAGTGTGGCTGTACAACTCCACTTCCCACTTTGATTCTAGCTGGTGTACAGACCAGTTCTACATACACACTCTTCAGTCCCTGCCCATGATGTGTGGCCAGCAGTATATGAATACAGTCGACTTGTCCCCATGGTCTGGTTGTTTGAGCATACATAAGTATCCTTTTGTGTATAGATAGGTATCCTGTATGCTTTGCAAAAGAGCATTAGTACTATATTCTCTCAGTGCTGCTCCAGGAAAGCAAAATCCATGGTGTATATACATCCTCATGCGCTCCTAGAAGACGGTATTTTTCCTGGGGACTTACAAGCTAAGCCTACCTTGCAGCACTGAAACCTGCAGCAAAGTACCTTTTATAAAGAAAAGGAGAAGTAGTGAAATGGATTCTGTAAGGTCAAGAAGCCCTGTGAATGGAGCTACGTGCTGGCACAAGAGAAATCCTTTTCTGAAGAGACTATAGCAATCATAGAAGTATTTGACCATTTCTGTTATGTTGAGAGGCAAAGCTACTTCTCATGCATTTGGATCAAAGGATTCTTTTTCTTACTCTGGAAATGGCAGGCTTTTGCTTTTGTTTCCAGAGTGAAGTGTAGCTCAATGTCTTTTTTTTATGTTCTGCTGGTTACACTTCAGATATGTGATCTTATCCACTATAAAATTTAACAGAAACCTAAGTTCTCTTTGAAGTAAGACAGAGGTTAACTGTCTGGATCAGATGCCCTTCTGTAATATTCCTCTATTGTTTTACTACCATCTTTTTATGTTATCTTTTTCCAAGTGCTACGGAAATACCAGCATTGTTAGATGTTACTGATGATAGATATAATGATAGATCCTAATAGTTAAATATTAATGAAATACTAGATCCTACATGAAGGCCTTGAAAACTCCAGTTTTCAGAAGCTTTGGCTTCAGTGATTTTGAAATGTGTCACCCCAGGATCTAGGGTACTAATTTTGTTGCAGAGTAAAATCCAGACACAGGTAGTTCACCTGGTATTTTTGACTGTGGCATACATGCTAAGACAGGGTTTACTTCTGTGAAAGTATATATTTAAGTTCTGACAAGTTTCCACTACAAATAGAACACTGAAAAAATTAGCTTTCTTGGAAAAAAAAAGCTTGCTATAGGGAGAGGATGCAACTTGGTTTCCTGTCTGTCTCTGGTCATTTATAAGTAATCATATCCGATTTTATTTTGAATTTAGTTTGGTAGTGAGGTTGTTCTTGAATCTTTTGGGTTTATCACTCTTACCTCTTTGGGGAAATGTACTTATTTTGCATTCTTTAAGTTAACTTCTGGAATCAGCACTTGAAGATCAGTTATTTCATACTATAGTTTGCAAAACTGAGCAGTGCCTAAGCCTTGTTTCGTATTTTTGGGCAACATCTGCACGATTTGTCATCTTCATTGGTTGATTTTGCTGCAGTGGTAAGTAAATTTGAAATCGATTGCTGTCAAAGCTGTTTTGTGTATAAATTAATAAATTCAGAGAAGATAGAAAGTAATGGAAAAGCTTCCAAAGAGAATAAGGAGGTGCAGCCCATTTATGACATACTAATGATTTAGTACCAGCATAACTTCAACCTTTTGGGGGGCAACTGCTCAGCTAGGGTATTGGCCTTCCTTAAAATCTCAGAAGCTTCACTTTTTACATGAGGGTGATTCATCCTATCACAGTTTTAAGGGCTAGATCTGAAACTTAGAAGGGAAAAGAAAGCCTTTACTGATGTGAAAACTCAACACTGAATGCATCTTTACTGCTTGAAGGCCTAACTGTAAACAGGTGTCGTGGTTTAAACCCAGTCAGGTAGCTTGTTCACTCACTCCCAGTGAGTGGTGCCGAGCTGACAACAATCGAGGTCCGTGTCCGTCTCCCCCCCTGCCTCCCCGCACCGGGGCTCTCCCCTTCCCCGCTCCCGGAGGAACGGGGAGGAGGATCGAGAGAGTGCAACTCCTACGGGTTGAGACAAAAACAGTCCAGCAACAAATCACCACCGCTACTATCAGCTACAACAATGATAAGGGAAAATAACAAGGGAAGAGAATACGATACCACCGGCCAAGAGAAACGAGCTCCACCCGGAAGCCCCTGTCCTTCCGGGTAACTCCCAGTTACCCCTCACCCCGGGCATGACGTGCTGTGGTATGGAATACCTCCCCGGCTAGCCCGGGTCAGGCGCCCCGTCTCTGCTTCCTCACAGCCTCCCCTCCTCCCTGGCAGAGCATGAGCCTCACAGAGTCCTTGGTCAGGGTAAACATCACTTAGCAACAACCGAGAACATCGGCTTCACCAACACTGTTCTCAAACTGGAAGTCAAAACACAGCACTGTACCAGTTAACACAAAGGAAAAACATGACTGCTACTGCGGAACCCAGGACATTATCCACCCCTTATTCCATACCATTCACGTCGTGCTCAGATCCCACATTTTTCAATACACCATCGCTCTCCCACATATATACATCCATATACATACAGACCAAGAGGAAAAATCA